TATGAAATAGGTATACAAATACACATTTGAAAAGAAACGTATATATCTGGCTATCATACCTATTATAGACATTAAAGAATCTACTAGCAATATACTTGCAAACTCTTTGTGTTTGGCAACAATTTTCCATTTAGCACAGATCATTAGTTTAACTTTGAACTTAACAGTGAAGCTATCATAGTTTTCGAGGAAGTGACACATAAAAACGTTTTATCACTTTTTGGATCCATAATGTATACATATACTCAAAAGACTGTTCCAAGAAATAGAAGTCTTCATGTATCCAAAGGCAAATATTATGCTATGAAATCTAAGATAAATTACCTTCAAAAAATAACATGAAAACAGCTGTTAAATTACACACTTGTCCAAAATCTGTTATATGAAAATAGAAAGCCACAAAAAACGATTAACAATAGCAATTACAGCCATGTTCACATGTTCTCTTTGTTGACTTCCTAAAATTATAACTAAACATGGGTAGCGACATTGTCTTGGGTTTTATATGGAATGATTCTCCCAAGGATTCCATCTATAAATATGCTTATACAGGAGAAGCAGCTGAGACAAAACATTTTGATAAAATATCTCAATAATTGTTCCTTGAAGTAATCCCAATACTTAATTGTTAGTAAAGGCAGTAAAGGAAAACAATCTTACTCTTAAAACACACACACAGACACATACACACATGCTTACTTTTTTTTTTACTGACATATTATTGATACACCATCTTATATTGGCTTCAAGTACACAACACAGTGGTTCAGCAGTTACCCAAATTATTAAATGCTCACCCCACGACTACAGCTACTATCTGTCAACACGGGAAGATGTTACAGAATCATTAGCTATATTCTCCATGTTGTACCCACTGTCCCTGTGGCCAACCTACATTATTATTGAGAATTTTTGTGCCCCTTTATCCCCCTCACCCTTCTCACCCATCCCAACTCCTGATGGTAACCACCAGTCACTTTTCAGCATCTATGAGTCCACTGTCATTTTGTTCATTTTGTTTTGTTTTGTTTTTAGATTTCACAAATAAGTGAAATCATGTATTTGTCTGTCTCCACCTGGCTTATTTCACTGAGCATACCTTTAGCTAATGAAATGGAAAGAAGGCATCAATTGCTACCTTAGACAAAAATGTGGTAAAAATTAAAATGGTACTTCCATACTCACACTGCAGCCACTCAGCAAATGGTTAAGATTTTTACAACTTGAATCACCTCACGATGAACAGAAGACCTTATATATATATGGATGAAAATGTAGTTTCTATTTTTATCTTTATAAGTGGAAGGGTAGATCATTTTGCCATCCCCCACAGAGTCCACATTTAATTCAGAGAATTAGATGGAAAGAGACTAGTAAATGCCTTAAAGGAATACTTAATGTTTTTTTAATTAGCTTAGTTTTATAATAAAAATGGTTTTCAAAATTTAAGACAAAATAAGTGATCAGAGACAAAATCAGCAGTCAACAATGCAGACAGTAGTATCTTGAAAAGGAAAGATACTAACAAAAAAAAATAGAATAATACCACAGATATCAATGATATATGACAATCAAAACACAGAATCTAGATTGCATAAAAGAAAAGCTAACAGAAAAATAGTGATATCCTTTTCTAGTCTGTTATATCTGTGCTGACTATCTAGATAAAAAAACTAACATTTAAATCAAGCATTTAATGCCCATAAAGAGGCTACTGAGCACATACTTATTTTCTGGTATCATTAGCAAATAGGTGGCAGATTCAAATTTTAATAAACAAAAAATACATGAGCTAACAGTGAATATAATCTCTACCCGATTTGATATTTTATTCATCATTACAGATGAGCAGAAAGGATCAGTAGAAAATCAAATAAGGGGTAGTTCAGGAACTAACAGCATGAGCCACTCCAGAACATATTAAGAACAACTTAGAGTAATGTAAATCTTTGAGCAGTAAAACTCTCATAAAACAACACTGGCAAAACATTGCATCAATATAGATTTGAATTTTACAAAGATGGGGTAAATTACCACTTCTAACTAGCATTACACTCAGCAGTATGTGAAAAGCCAAAATGTGAATTACAAGAAGATGCATAACTGCCTTCTTCCAGGAGTTGGCACAACAGTTGTGGGGGGGGGGGG